CTATAATCTTAACCCCTAGAACACCTCCTCAACTGGTTCTATTACCTTAGCCGGTGTTGATGATCCTTCTATTTACAAGGGCAAAGTGAGTGCCTTTATAACATTTTAGGTCATTCTGTTTAGGATATTTTGATTGTCGAAGACATCGTTGACTCTGGAAATACCATGAACAGACTTCATGCTTACTTGAACACTCTTGAGGCTAAATCTGTCACTGATGTCTGGTAAATTTCGTTTACTTCGTACAATTTTCCCTTTAGTCTTCTCGTCAAGAGGACTCCTCGTAGCTCTGGGTATCGACCCTGCTGTACGCGTAATATTGGTTTACTTTTTCTGCACTTAAAATCTCGATAAGTGTAGATTGTTTCCATTTCAGTTGCTGGATTCGAAATTCCAGATGACTTTGTTGTTGGCTACGCTCTTGACTACAACGAATACTTTAGGGACCTCCACGTAAATTATTTTTGTGCTTTCCGTCCACTTATTTCAGTTATGACATAAATTGCCTCTGCCTTTCAGCACATTTGCGTCCTCAACAAGGCTGGATTGGAATGTTTTGCAGTGCCCGAAGGAAGTGACAATCACGCGCAGGAGGCTAAAGCCTTCTAATTAACCATCTCACCTCTCACCTCTTCTTGGAAGTGACATTCCTCCGATGTCTCATTAATCGCCGCTCAAATTGTAGCGAGAATTTGTTTTGAGTAAATTGATGCGCTAGCACATTGATTTTCTCTTTCACCTCCAAAAAAGTCACATTTTCAAGGCAGTTTTGGTCTGCGGCGTCGTTACTGTGATTGTGGAAACTGGTTTTACTTAGCAACGGGGTTTCGAAACAGAATCCATGTTCATGGGTAGCATTGTGTTGTATTGGTGTAAAGTGGCTTCGAGATGCAAGATCAACCAAGAGTGGGGTATTAGTTTCACATTTTAGTGAATAGTTGCTAATGTGTAGTCTGGCAGTCCTCTAGCGTCTGGGATTACTTCCGGTAGTTATATGGGCATGGAAGTGGTTTTCTGTTTGGGGACCTTGGAACACCTCATCATTAGAAAGATGTGCAGGGTTCCCTCTTTTTGGAAGCAAATGTGTAAAGTATTGCCATCTAGGATTTCCTGGTCGGATTTGGATACAGTCAGGTAACTGGCTGACCTCGAAGTTAGCATCCATTTATGCGGGTCAGTTAATCCTTTTCTTTTAGGAGCGGCGGTTGGCGTATGCGTTCATGGGTTTTATCAACGAAATGAAAGGTTCTGAAATTTACGGATTTATAGACTTGGTAATCATTCGAACGTTTCACCGTCGTGCTGCAGAATACTTTTTGAACATAAAAATAAGGCTTTAAATTAATCCTCTAAAACTTGCGCCTCAGTCTTAGCAATGGTGCTGGACGCTACCGTCACTTCTGTCTTGCTAGTTCAATGTCTCTTGAGGTTGCGCTTTATGCGTGCGAGGCCATTTGGGAAGTCATAAAATCGGGAGAGCTGGGAATCATGGTGGCCTTGGTAAACGCAGTCTGTACTCCGAAGTGGTTAAGGCTACCCCAATGTCTGGCAGCGTATCACTCCACCTACCCTGGACTGCAATGGCCGCTGGATTTTTAATCCACGGTGAGATGAGACTGCTAAATGCATGATGCATAATGAAAGCAGTGAGATTCCAATCCAAGATAGGCAAGAAGGTGAGATCTCAAAGCGTTGAATTTGAAGCTGCCATGCCACAGTGCCATTCCACCATCAGTCGCTTGAAACTTACCTTAAAAAATCACAAACGAACATCGAAAGTGGAAGCAAATGGCAGGAGTCCTAAATACAGAATATGCTAAGAGTTTAGTAATTTTAGAACTGAAACAAAGAGGTGAAAATTAAGGGATTTGATAAGGGGATCCCAAAATTTCCACCAAAAGGACAGTTCCTCAGAGTGTACCTTCTTGATAACCTTCATAAAAGCTTCAAGATCTGTTGCCGCGGTCGGCAACTGGAGTGGGTTATTCGAGGCTGATTGACGCTCAAAGGGTTGGTTCTTTGGAAGGACACCGTCAGTCAAACAACCCTACTGGCTCCTAACTGCCGTATCAAAACTGATTTTATGAGGATAGCTAAAGTGGGCTCATTGTAAGTCACTCCGTGCAAAGGGACCGATGGAAAGACGACAGTTTGTGGCTCCAAAATCAAAATCAAAAAAATGATACAATGCCTCATCTGTTTTTGATAATGTCGATTGCGGCACCATTGTAATGGGGTTTCAGTAGGGATGCAATCTCAAGTCATCAGAGTGTGGACCAACTCGTATGCAACATTAAGTAGCGTTTACTGATAGCCAACTGCCTTCTGTTACAATCCACTGCTGTAAAAAAGTTGTTAGTTTTGTTGTTGGTAGGCGCCTTATTGACAGGGAAAGAGCACCAGCCAGACCACTTAGCCACCGAGGCTACCACCGCACTGCCCAACTCAAACCCTGAATCCAACGAGCCT